CCAAACGAAGGCTGCGTTAAATTGTACCAGCGCTATTCGAGTCTTGAAAGGCACATACTTTATGGAAAGTGCGAGCTCGTAGAAGAAAAGCGTAACCTCTTAGACAGAGCAAAGCTACTATATAGGGAAAAGCTATTAGAAGGCGCTTCTACCGTCCCATCCATGTCAACCAACACAGCAACTATTTCTAAATCAAACTCCGGTGCTCCGCAAGGATGGGCTCTGAAGAGAGGTAAGCAAGCTAAACGATTTAGCGAAAAACAGAAAGAATACCTAGACAGGAAATTTGACATTGGGCAAAAGACTGGTCACAAAATTGACGGAGCAACGGTGTCTCGTGACATKAGGTAWGCAAAGAATGGAAATGGAAGCAGGTTATTTGYTGCGGAAGAATTTTTAACTGCACAGCAGATTAACTCATACTTCTCRAGAATGGCGTCGAAGCTTAGAAACGCAACAACACCTGCAAGTGAGGCGCCAGCCACTGACGAAGAACAAGCGGTTGAATATGACTTGGCGGCCGAGGACGAGAATGCCTTTTACTCAACTCGTCAACAAATATTAGATGAGTGCCAGTTGTCTCATCCWATGGTATATGATAGTTACAACATTTGCGAATTGACCCATTACGATAATCTCAAGAAGAAATTTAACATAGCAATGCTTCGCTCTATTTGTGAACATTTCGACTTGGATTGCAGCAACATCACTGGCCACCGCAAGGATCCGTACATAAAATTGATAAATGAAGCGGTAGGAATGTGCASGTGTTCCATTGAGACACAATAATTAAGGTAAGGTCTTTTTAGTTTAGTAGACGACGTCGATATCAKAAAAAATAGTTCTATTTTTTCCCCATGCATGTAGTATCGTGCAGTACTGTGAAGTGCTTTGGGATTCATAAGAATCCTTTTTTTTCGGTAGCGCGCGGTCCGGTATTTCACGATCTTCCCGGTCCACGGTAACCTGCAGCTAGGCTGCAGTTGCATAAAATACAAATAAAAAAATAATAAACTGTTATTTACCGGCTATAGGTCGGTACGTATAGGAAAAATTTGCCCTCGCTGCGCTCTTTCCGTACTGTCAAGACCTCGGGCAGTGTTTTCCTATACGGACATCCCAGCCAGTAAATAACATATATATATTGAAAATACATCGTATTAAACAGTTTTTTGCATTTTGTTTTCAGTAATAGTACGGACAGTTAAAAACAGTTATGGTGAAAGGAAGACTAACTTAGTTTACAACGGCATCAAGTTTTTATTCAAGAATATCATCACGTTCAATTACTTCAATTGAATACTTTACAAAAATATTTTAAGAAAACTTGTAGTAAACACGGAGAACACTCGCCCGTCAAGGCGCAACGCATTCAGCAAGAGAAATATATGGTACAATCAGTAACTTGGGCTTCCTGTGTGTCACTTAATCGATAACAGTTTGCAGTCAGCCGGACTGTTGATTTACTGTTGACATGCTATTTAAAAACATTTTGGAAGTGTATATGGAAAGAATCAAGGA